TGATGAGGTGAATGATGACGATGCTGATAATTGTACAATCCGAGGATCCAAAGTATCAATTTCAGCTAGAACTACCTACTGCATTGTGTATAAACAACACCTGTACTAGCTGATCAGAGAGCCCACAACAATTCAAAGGCAAGAAGGCTCTAGGATGCTTTTCTTTAATATCCAATTTTAAAACATACATGTTGACTTTTTTCCTGAAAAATGCTCATTTCAGGGACACTCCTATGAACAGACAGGAGGCAAGCCCTGTTGGTCTATGGTAGCAAAAAAATTAGGAGGAATCTGGTACAGCAGCACCTTTTCCAACTAATAAATCTTGTTAAAAAAACACCAGTTTTCGTGAACTGTTTTTTTTGTCTTCCTTTTGCATTTTGAACAGGGACAAATCTTCTTTTTAATTTCTTTAATCCTTTTATTCCTTTAATCCTTCCATGCCACGGGTCAATCTTTCTATTCTGTTAAAATGTCGGTGTTGCACCCAAATATTGTTTCATAACTGCTCATGGCCAAAGCCCCGCACGTTATTTTTGCCTCTTTATTTTTCTTCTTAAACTCCTTTATCATTTCTTAACGTTTCAGGACCAATAACAGACATCTTAATAACAGTTTTAATCTTCAAGGTGCGATGCTATGCTTTGTTGCGCCTTAAAAAGAAATATTTTCCTTTTTATGCAGATGATTTGGGGAAGGTGGGACAGGCTCTGGAATCGGCTTGCCTGAAGCCACCTTGTTAATTGACAGCAGTGACAAGATCTGAATCTGAGACTTCCTCACCTATTAATAATAAGTCTCTTGGCTATCCTGCTGCGCATTCAATCATCCAAAGCAAATGTGTGTCTATGGGATAAGCTTAGCAATATCTTGTCCATTCCAGCCGGAATTGCAGACTCAACCCTACAGCTGGTTCCAATGTTCTCCACTAACTTTATTGAATTTTAAAAAAAAACAGTTTATCATTCCTGCTCTGCCACAGGCCTGCTGATTATCTACATATGACACGGGGCAGTTGTGGAAACGGAGATGCTGGCAATATAAAGGCAGGAATTGTTCAAGTAATGTAGAGAAGGGGGGGAGAGAAAGGAAAGGGAGATGCAGAAGTAAAGGGAAGTTGTAGGAAGAGCATAAGCTTGACTTAAAGAGGGTGAGTTTTTGAGCACGTCTCTGCAATATCTTTTAAGCGCTGTTTACAACTTGGCCCATTGTGGCTTTGATTTCTGGGGAGAGACTTAGCGACAGAAAACGACACGATTTGGGGACAAATGGATTCCTCCAAAGCTCTAAGCCTAAATGTTGCTGGTCGGTTTTTCTTAGTGTGTTATGTCAACCCAGCCAGTGGTGGGATTCAAATATGTGAACAACAGGTTCTCTGTGTGGATGCCACTTCCGGAAGTCCATTCTGGGCCTGGGCAACAAAAAAAATTAGCTACCGGTTCTGCCGAAGTGGTGCAAACTGGCTGAATCCCACCATTGAACCCAGCTGATCGTGGTTTATTCAATCAAATATGGCTAAGCCAGCTGTGTTTAACACAATGGGTGCACAACTCATGTACAAAGGGCAAACTCAAAATATTTCCCATGCAGAGGGAGGGGATCTCTGAGCTGTTAGCTCCTAGCTCCCTTTGTAGACACCCCTGAACTGGACAAACCCAGTTGTTTTATGATTCTGAAAGAGTTAACTATGTACAGAGTATGAATCAAGGTCTCAGCTAATGATAAGACTAGTTGTGAAATTTGTCTTCTAACACCGTTCTTCTGGTTCAGTGCCAAAGAGTAAGATGGGAGAAGGCAGATCATGGATGGAGATTAACGTTGCTGCTTGTCTGGTCTGAATTTCCCACAGCTTTTCCAAACTTGGGCAGTTGAAATGGGTGTAGTTCGTTTTGAGCTGCCCAAATTCTCAGCCATGGGCACTCAGGCTGAGAAAAATCTGTCGGTGGAAATCCATCCAGAGTGGAGAAGATGGGTCTAAGCACAACGGTCCTGCTTCGCGTTATGACCTGGAAGGTTGTGTGAACTCAACCAGTAGCGGCTTCTTCAAAGCCGTGACTTAGCACACAGTAGGTGAACGCAGCCTAGTAGAAACACAAGTGCAGAATATTCCGTGTTTCCCTTAGCTACTCTTTCTCTTCCGGACAATTTCTTCCTTCTATTTTTTTCACACTGCGGGAGACAGGGTTTCACCAAGCAAAACGCTTACTAGTGATCCTTTTATTGCTCAACATTATTTATTCTGTGCAAGAAAAAAAAAGGAGAATGTCCTGGGGTTTGTGTTTTTCAGTCTCCCGTGCCATGTTTATTCACAGGCCACCAATGTAGCAGGCAATTGGCTGTATCAGCTGTGTGCCCCGGTGCCAACGATCCAATTCCCCGGGGCTGGGGGTGGGTGGATGGTGCGTGTAAGGGTTATGCAGACTTGTCTCTGCAAGACTCTCAAACTGTTCTCTTTCTTCGTGCCAGCTCCGGGTTCACTGCAGCAGAACTTGCATGATGCAACTCAAGGCTCCAGCCACGCCTAGGAAGGACGACCACGTCCAGCGGAATCAACTTTGCATGGATCCGAATGCCAGCTGCACGAAGTCTGCTGAGAAAAGCATGGCTCAAAGCGGAACGTTTGTGGGAGAAGTGGGAAAAAATAAAAAGGGGGAAATGTTTCAGTTTTCTGCCCATTTTGCAGCCCACACTGCTGTCGATATGATTAAAAACAAGCAGAAACACAAACTCTGACCTTGGGAAAAAGGGATGCTCAAAGAATCCTTTTATAATTTTGCTTTAAACCAGGGGTCCCCAACCCCCGGTCTGTGGACCGGTACCGGGCTGCAGCACGCCAGCAACCGGTCCGCACACACAAGCAAAGCCCCATTGCGGGATGCAGGCAGCACACAAAACCTCGCCCCCTCCAGTCCGTGGAAAAACCTCTCTCCATGGAACCGGTCCCTGTTGCCCAAAAGGTTGGGAACCTCTGCTTTAAAGGGAGTTAACACACATTTCTTAAACTAGAGCGTTGATCGCAACGCACCAGCAACTAGAGTTCAGATGTTTCATGAGGCGCTTGTGTTAAAAATAGCGGAGAGAGAATGCAAGGAGTAAATGCATAGTTTTGAGCAGGGTTTTTTTTTTTTATCATAGAACGCCCAGAACGGAGTTCCGGCACCTTTTTTGGATGGAACTTTGTAGGGTAGGCAAGGCAGGTTGTATGACGTGTGTGAGTTCCGGCACCTTTTTTTATTTTATTTTTTTTACAAAAAAAGCACTGGTTTTGAGTATTTAAATAGCATCTTGGCCGCTTCCTAAAATCTCCAAGAAACCATCCCAGAGGCCATGAAATATTTTAAGTTTCCTTTTCAGGAAGCAAAGTACAAGATCAAGGAAGAGGGGAAAAAAAAACCAGGGTTTGAACAGAGAAGTCAATGCCGGTTATCTGCAAATGCAGCCTGAAAAACCTCTGCATGGACATCTGGGAACCACAAATAATTAATATAGGTAGTCCTCAGCTTACAACAGTTCGTTTAGTGACTGTTCAAAGTTACAATGGCACTAAAGTGACTTATAACCACAAATAGGAAACAGACCACAAATAGAAGGGATTTTTTAAAAAAAAACATACATACAAACATAATCTCTTTAAATCAAACTTTCCTGTAACTCAGCTTTTAATACAAGCAGCTACTGACACCTAGAGGCAAGTAGATTAATTACCTCTTCTTAAACTCTCTTCTAACAGTCTTAACTTTGTTAACCTAAAACTTTAGCTCAAATGATCCAGATTTAGCATAGATTGAGCGTCCTCAAAGTCAAATATCGTATGCATTTGGATCTAAGGATAGGCATGATCCTGGAACAACTGATTGTTGGAATACTATCCAAACGTGTAATGGAAATATTTGACATGTGGAACTAACACATTTAAGTCAAAAACAACTTGATAGTGTGAATCACCGAGTTCCTCAATTTTCTCAGAAAAAAAACCCCCAAATTATTGTATACTCATACTCACGTCGCTGTAAAAAAAAATGACAGTGCATCTAGGTAGATAATAAGGGATTTTTATAATCATGTCTCAAAGGTGCTTTTCCAAGAGGCAAAGTGGACTTTCTTGTTTTTCTTTGAAAAGAGGCCAACTATGTCAAAACTGAACAGCCCTCTCTCAACAGAAGGGGAGGGATAGAACATCATCTATCTCCAGTCTACATACAGTCCTTGGACAGTTCCAAGAAGGCTCCTACACCCATTTGCACCACTCAGGTGATCCTGGGGACACAGATTCTCCAAAGTGCCTGAAGGCAGGACAAGAAGCAACAGATGGAAACTCACCAAGGAGAGAAGCAACCTAGAACTAAGGAGAAACTTCCTGACAGTTAGAACAATTAACCAATGGAACAATCTGCCTCCGGAGGCGGTGAATGCTCCAACACTGGAAGTCTTTAAGAAGAGACTGGACAGCCATTTGTCCGAAATGGTATAGGGTTTCCTGCCTGAGCAGGGAGTTGGACTAGATGACCTCCAAGGTCCCTTCCAACTTTATTATTATTATTATTATTATTATTATTATTATTATTATTATTATTATTATTATTATTATTATTATTATTATTATTAGTATTATTATTATTATTATTATAGATAAACCTCCAGGTGGTCTCAACGACTCTCTAAAAGAATGCAAATGACCAGCTGTCTGCCAGGAGTATAAATCCTTCCCTTCCCCACCATCCAGTCAGAGCTGAAGAAGCTTCTTGGATGAGAAGCAAAATGTCTTCAAAAGGAAAACAAACAAAGTCCAGTTGCCTCCTGAAAAAAAGCACCTTTGGGACCTCCACATGACCTGGATGCCTGAGAATCTCCATAGACATTTGAGATCAATGGTTTGTTAAGCTCCGGGCTCTTCCTGCTAAATCGTGTTGAGCCATTCTATGCACTGCCCTAGCAGTTTGCAGAAGCAAAAAATAAAAATAAAAATACAGGAACAAGACAATTTTCATTTTAATTTGACAAAGCAAAATACATCTGGGCAAAAAGTGTCTTCTACAAAATCATTAAGGCTTCAGTCTTCTATTTTTTCCAGGGCTTCCATATCCTCTGGATCCAGGCGTTGGATCAAGATCTCTGAAAAGAAGAAATAAATTTGCAGCTGACTTTTTGGGAAAGGCACCTAAGCCGCTGAACTGCAGTAGAGACAGGCAGTCCTCCACTTAACAACATTTTGTTTAGTGACGTTCGAAGTTACAACGGCACTGGAAAAAAGGGACCAATGGCCATTTTTCACACTTACGACATTTACAGCATCCCCCTATAGTCACGTGATTTACATTCGGATGCTTGACAACTGATTCACATTTATGACGGTTGCCGTGTCCCAGGTTCACGTGATTCCCTTTTTGCGACCTTCTGACAAGCAAGAGTCAATGGGAGAAGCCGGATTCACTTAACAACCATGTTAGCAATTGAACAAATTCAGTGATTCACTTAACGAATGTGGCAAGAAAAGTTGTAAAATGGGGCAAAACTCAGCAAATTTCTCATTTGGCAATTAATTGCGGTCGTATGTTGAGGACTATCTGTACATCTTCTGAAGTTTGTGAAACAGCACTGCCTACGCTACTCTTTCTGCCTGCCAGGTTCCACATCCTATTTTTACACCCTTCTAATGAAAAGAAAATGCAAAACACCTGTGGCTAAGGTGAGCTGTTTTCAAGAACGCCTCTGTCCCCAACAAGACCTCTGTAGGCTGAAGGTGGAGGTTCGTTCTCCGAGCTTGTGGGTTGGTTTCCGAACGTTTCATTACCAGGCTAAATAATCTCTTCAGCTGAATTTGGGGAATGTCGGTGTTGGTATTCTTCTGTTTATAAGGGCTTTGTGTGGTCAGTAAGTCTTGTGATGAGAGGGTCATGTCAGGTGAGGGTCTTGTGATGGGAGGGTCACGTCAGGTGAGGGTCTTGGAATGGGTCTTGTGAGGGGTCAGGTGTGGGTCACATCGGGTGAGGGTTGTGATGGTCTAGTGATGGGTCAGGTGTGGGTCACGTCAGGATCTTGTGATGGGAGGGTCACATCTGGTGAGGGCCTTGTGATGGGGCCAATGATAGGTGAGGTGTGGGTCCTTGGTAGGCATTCTAAGAAATTCAGACCCTGCATGGCTGTAGGCAGCAATGTTTGCAAGAGGTCCACCTGCTCAGAAAAATGGCCACTTGATTTAAAGCAGACATGTCAAACACAAGGCCCGGGGGGCGGATGCGGCCCGCAGTGGTTTCATGTGGCCTGTGAAGCCATCCTGGAAACAGTGAGGGAACGGCCCCCACTGCCTTGGCCCTGGCCCAGGCCAGCCAGGAGCCAATATACAATTTTGTGGTGGCCATCTATGCTGAAATGCATTCAGTCTTAGCTCCACAAGGCCATCTAGAAACAGCGAGGAACCAGCCCCTGCCGTGTCAGCCCCACCCCCTGGGTGCATGCTAGGGAGGTGTCACCCTTTGTGAGGAATGAAGAAATGGACCATGCCTTGGCGCTTGCCCCGGTCCCACCCCCTTCTGCCAGAGACCCTCAGATCTGTCCCATTACTGCCCAGGCCCCCACAGGCACCCTTGACGCGAACGATGTAGAGCTGGCCACGCCCACCCAGTAGGCCACACTCACCCTGGCCACACCCACCTGGCCCCCCAAGGGCAACTGCAATGCTGATGCGGCCCTCAATGAAATTGAGTTTGACACCCTTGATTTAAAGTAAACGAGATTAAGAATTACCGTCAAATTAAAGGGAGGCAATTCTGTCTCTTGGTGCCTCTGACCCACCAAGCACTGCAGCCTTCAGAGCTTCCCCACTCTACAGCTCGGGTGCAAACTAAAAGCTGATGAACCTGCTACGTTTATATATTGGATTCCCCACACTTGTGGTTTAATTGGCCCAGGGGACACATCACACTCACTGAAGTGGTCCTGGATTTCGAACAGAAGAGGTAAGTTTTGCCTCTCCACCATATTGAACGCCAGACCGTTCTTCCCAAACCGGCCAGCTCGACCGATGCGGTGGAGGTAGGTCTCAAAGTCAGGCGCATGGAACACTGTTGTAGGCAAGGTAAAGTTCACCACGATGGTGACTTGCATCACGTCAATGCCTAGGGAGAAATATAAACAAAGAGGATCTTTACAGCTGACCTGCCTGGTGATGAACAGCAGCCAAAACGAGGGTGTCATGGCCCCATCAGAACCCAGTTGGGAGGAGGAGTTGGAACCGGAACCATCCAGCGGGGATGGCACCTTTCCCATGGAATGCTTGGAGAGGCCCAGGGGCTGAGGATGATGCTGTCCCAGGCCCTTCAGGCATTGGGGGAGGTGGCTGACCGTACAGAGAGCTATTTGACCTCACAGACACAGGGGAAGATTGACTGCAGACCAATGCGGTGGTGCTGAGAGGCAGCAGATCCCCTCTGACGAGGAACAGCTGCCTCCCCCACTCAATCCAAGGACACGGAGAATAGAGCTAAGGAAGCTCAAAGAAGATCAACGGGGCTACTCGGGACAAAGTCGCCCTGCCCCTCCTCAAAAGCAACATTTGATGTGGGTTGACTTAAGGAGACGTTGGGGACGGGAGGAGAGATTTTGTCTCTATCAGGAACAATTGTTGGCTTTGGCTTACAACTCCCCTGGCTTCGGAAAAACTCAGCCTTGACTCGAGTGATTTTGCCCCTGCCTTGACGACTGCCTTTTGCCTCATGGACTTGCCTTTTGCCTTGTGATTTACCTTTGGCCTTGTGGACTTGTCTTTGGCCTTTGAACCTTTGCGAATTGGTTTTGTTTACTGGTTTTTGTTTGTGGGTGGCTGCCTTCAGGGAAGTGTGGGGTGGAGCCATACTGGCTGTTGTAGGGCCATCTGTTGTGGCATTTAACAGAGCAATAAAGGACTCTATCGATGGCTGCCTCTGCCTAGGTGACCCAGGGCCATAAGAGAAGAACGAGGGGGGACATGATAGCAGTGTTCCAATATCTCAGGGGCTGCCCCAAAGAAGAGAGAGTCAAGCTATTCTCCAAAGCGCCTGAAGGCAGGACAAGAAGCAACGTATGGAAACTAATCAAGGAGAGAAGCAACCTAGAACTAAGGAGAAACTTCCTGACAGTTAGAACAATTAACCAGTGGAACAACCTGCCTCCAGAAGCGGTAAATGCCCCAACACTGGAAGTTTTTAAGAAGAGACTGGACAGCCATTTGTCCGAAATGGTGTAGGGTTTCCTGCCTGAGCAGGGGGTTGGACTCGATGACCTCCAAGGTCCCTTCCAACTTTACTATTATTATTATTATTATTATTATTATTATTATTATTATTATTATTATTATTATTATTATTATTATTATTATTATTACTAGAACTGTACCTCTGGCGCAGAGGTTGGTTGTGATGATAACTTTGTATTTCCCATCGCGGAACTGCTGGATCACCTCTGCCCGCTTTTCAACTGTCAGTTCCCCGATCAGGAGGGACACTTGGTGCCCATCTGTTTTTAGGGCGTGGTACAGCCATTTAGCATTGTAGCGAGTCTGTCAAAAGTATACAAGAAAAGAGCATGCCACAAAGGGAAGCCCTGGAATAGACAGTCCGCCGGTTGCGTTTTTGATGTACTGTAATGTATTCCTTTATAACCCGCCCGATAGAGATAGGCTTCAGGATGAGAGGCAATAAATAAAAACAAGGAAGCCAGGAAGCAACTTACCACAGCAATTCACTCTTCATTCTTCTTCTGTATCTAATGGCCATTGTTAACAAGGATGACATTTCTGCATCAATATAAACCAACTGAAAATGCTGTTCCCTCTTTGGGTGCTTGGCAATGCATGACTATGTCCCAGATTTAGTGGTGACATATCTGCTGTCATGGTTCCAACAGATGAAACTTCGAGGCATTGTTTACCTTAAAGAATCTTTATTTTGAGTAGCATAACATTGGCACTGCATAATCGAAGCAGAAAACTGAATTCCCCTCCCTTGAGCACATAGTATCAAAGCACAATTCCCTCCTCCAATTAACAGTCATAAATCACATTCCCCAATTAGCTTGAAGTGCGGGCCTCCTCTCCAGTTCTCCAGCCCGCCAATTCCTTATCAGCTCTGGTTACAATAACCTTGTTTCTCACGCTAGGTTTAGTGTTATGTCTAGCTGAACTCTCGTTCACATCCCCCCTCCCAGCATCATCTAACCTAAAAGCAAAAGGTAAAAGATGGCTACATTTCCATCTGTTGTCAATGCAAAAACATCCGATGTTAGCAGCGTTGACATCTGCAGGAAGATGCCTGAATCCAGCCAAATGCTGGCCAGATGTTAACGGGCAGAAGGAAAGGAGGAACAGGAAGAAAAGCTGCTACCAAGACAATGCTTGGATAACAGAAACCTGAGTCAGGAACAGAACTGTAATGTGTACATGTGGTCCTCGACTTTCAACACTTCATTTAGTCACCATTCAAAGTTACAACGGCACTGAAAAAAGTGACTTGGGACTGTTCTTTACACTTATGAGTGTTGCAGTACCCCCACGGTCACGTGACTTATATTTGGACGCTTGACACCTGACTCAGATTTACGATGGTTGCGGTGTCCCGGGGTCACGTGATCCCCCTTCTGACAAGCAAAGTGAATGGGGAAGCCAATTTCACTTAACAACTGTGTTACTAATTGAACAACTGCAGTGGATTCAGCAATATCAGGCAGCTGTGGCAAGAAAAGTCGTAAAAATGGGGCAAAACTCACTTAACAAATTTCTCAGCAACATAAATTTTGGGCTTCGTTGTGGTCGTAAGTCGGAGGACTACCTGTATAAAAATCTCAGATAAAACCCTCCATTATTCTATGAAGGGAAGGAAGGGGGGGGGGAAAACTTTCAGACTTGCAAGATTTTATTACCGTAATTTTATAATACAAGCCATCCTGGGCTTGTTTGACTTTGGATTCCTAGAACGGTTTTGTTCTGTCCAGCCTATGTGAGTCCTTGTTAAACTCACAAGGAGAAACCCTTCTTCCAACAAGCAGGCTGGAACCGCAGGAAAAAACCAGTCCCCTTTTATTCCCAGACCTGAGTCAATGTCCAAGGCAAAAAAAATACAGTTCACAGAAACTCAATCAACACAAACGGTTGCCTTCGGCAACCAGCACCTCCCACACCTCCCCTTTTATTATGCAGCCAAGGCGTGGCTTCCTAATGCCTTCTCCTTTGCCTTTAGAGCCGCCCATTGCATTCCTCTACTCTCTTTTCTTGCCAGCATTTACGGGCATCCTGGATATCTCCCAACTGTGATTCATCACTGTCCAACTCAGACTCCCAGCACAGCTGTGTCTCAGCCTGAGCGCGAGTAGAGGGGCCAGGCTCCTCGTCAGACTCTAAGTCTTGGAGCTCCTCAAAGTCTTCCTATGACTCTGATGTCACTCCAGACCCCCCTCCTCCTCCTCCTCTGATTCCCCAGACTCAGCTGCCGGGTCCACTGGCTGGCGAGGAATCACAACAGGTTTTTACCTTGATGGGAGGACAGGAGAGCACCTTACCTGGCAGAAAATGATGGCCTGGCCGATAGTGATGCTGCCGTAGAGGTTGCACAGGGCTCTGAATTTGTCTTCCTTATTCTCACACTCAAAGTAATACTGCCTGATATTGCTGAGGGTCAGCTCTTCCCGGCGGAGGGTAATGATGTTGGGCTCAGGGATGATGCGCTGGGCAAACTTGAGTACCGGCGGTTCGAAGGTTGCCGAGAAGAGAAGCAGCTGGCAATCTGACGATAAAGATCTGCGGAGATTTTTTTTTTTTAAAGAAAGAAGAGTTCCAACATGTAGGGATCGAAAGAGCCGATATGAAATACCCAAAGGGAACTGTTCTGCACCAGCCCTTTGCCAACATTGCCATAAATGAATCTGTTTTTAAAGAGCCTGCAGCTCAGGGGTTTTACATACACAAGGTTTCCAAATTTGATCTTTGGGGTTTCCAACGACAGAAAACTGCTCCTCAGCAAGATCTGCATTGGCCATATTCAACTGACAGCACTATATCAATAGCAATTAGACTTAGTCTAGACCAGGGGTGGGGAACCTTGGCTCTTTTATGACTCGTGGACTTCAACTCCCAGAATTCCTGAGCCAGCATGAGCCAAAGTTCCCCACCCCTGGTCTAGACTTAAGACTATATACAAAGCACCGGGAAGCTCCAATTGGTGCAAAATGCAGCAGCCCGCACGGTTTTGTGTAAATCCTCGGTGTGCACATGGGTCACCTCTCTAGCGGGAGCTGTATTGGTTGCCGATTTGCTTCCGGGTGCAATTCAAGATACTGGTTGTCACCTTTAAAGCCCTTCATGGCTTGGGACCAGGTTATTGGAGGGACCGTCTCTTGCCGGTCACATCCACCCGACCCACTACAGCAGGGAGGCAAGGAACGTTGTGGGTCCCGTCCCCTAAGGACATACATCTGGCAGAAGAAGGGCCTTCTCTGCAGTGGCTCCCTCCCTCTGGAACATCATCAGATGTCAGATTGGCCCCCACATTGACACTCTTTCGGAAGGCCCCGAAGACGTGGTTTTGCCAGCAGTCCTGGGGAGCCCAGAGTGGGATGGAGCCCATGAAACGGCTGGTATGAGTGTGTGTTGCCAGAGTGGGGGTTATTATTTTATTATTTTTATTTTATTTTTATTTCTTTGATATTGTGTTTTTATTTCCTGTAAGTCACCATGAGTAAGCAGCAATATAAATTTTCCAAATAAATAAATTCCAAATAAATATACCGCTTCACAGTGCTTTACAGCTGTGCTCTCTTAAGTTGTTTACAGAGTCAGCATTTCGCCCCCAACAATCTGGCTCCTCATTTTACCGACCTTGGAAAGATGGAAAGCTAAGTCAACCTCAAACCGGTCAGGATCAAACTCCTGGCAGTGGGTAGAATTAGCCCGCAATACTTCATTCTAACCCCTGTGCCATCAAGCTCTTGTTGGTAGTAATTTCGTAGCTCAAAGATTAGCAAAGGTCTATTTGGACTGCAGTATCCATGATCCCTCACTATGGGCCATGCTGGTTCAGTTGATGGCAACCAGAACATCTGGAAGGCCCTAGATCAGGGGTAGGCAACCTTGGCTCTTTTATGACTCGTGGACTTCAACTCCCAGAATTCCTGAGCCAGCCATGCTGAGGGGAAAGGGAGAGGTTTCCAAGCTGAGCCATGCTGGCTCAGGAATTCTGGGAGTTGAAGTCCACGAGTCATAAAAGAGCCAAGGTTGCCTACCCCTGCCCTAGATTTTATGGTCATGGGATAAACAGAGAAATGGTCCGTTGACTCCATGGGGCAGAAGAAACAAGAACCTAGAAAGCTCTCAAATCGGAGACAGGAAGACGGCACATGGAGAAGAAATCCGGTACAGGAATTTTAAGAGGGGCATCGTATAATTGAAATGACCAGTAACCTGGGTGATTTTACAGCAGATACCATGACAAATAGGGTGCACCAAAAGTTGTTGATCAACCCTGCTTCCCGCGAAGCTTGTAGGCAGAAGTGCCAACACATCCATGCTTTTATTCCATACCACATAAAGCAGCATTTGTTGAACCTGAGATCTACTTTTGCCCTGGCAGAGATGAGAATCTTAAAGACTTTCTAAATAATATAAATCCATGAAAGTTTTTTTTATTTATATGATCTGTATTTTTACAACTGGATGAATGTGTGGCATTGAGTCAAGTGGGGAAAAGTTAAATATTCAGCATTTTTAATAGTGGAAAAGAAACCCTAATTCAGGAAGAAAAAAAAACATATTTTACCTCTGGATACGAACACTCTGATCCAAGAAATTCTGTTTATCGATCATAACATCTGCTTCATCCAGCACATACACTTTGATCTTCTTCATATTAAAAAGCTTTAGCTTAAAACACCAATCTAGCAGGGTCCCTGGCGTTCCAATTATTATTTGTTCTCTTACTGGACTCCCCCTTGGAACTAAGAAGAACATATTTATGTAAAAAAAAACCATTATTTGTCTGCAATAAAGAAACTTTAAGACTATGTAGTAGTATTTTTGTGACGTTGTTTTTCTTTGGTCTGGTTCAGAATGAGGGAACTATGAAATTGAATAGACTGGATAATTAGGAACTTCGAATCAACAGAACAACAGATTGGAAGGGGCCTGCGAGGTCTTCTAGTCCAACCCTGTGCTCAAGCAGGAAACGCTATACCATTTCAAACACACGATTGTCCAATCTGTTTCTAAAAACCTCCATCGTGGGAGGCAACCGTTCCACTGATTAATTGTTCTAGCTGTCAGATTCAAACCAGAATTGTTTTTGTTAGGAATATTAGGAGCCAAATATGGAAAGGAGAATGACTATTTAATATTACACATATTGACAGCAGTGAGAATAGCATTTGCCCAATATTGGAAAAATGAAAATATACCATCTGATGAGACCATAATTAGGAAAATTTTTAGAATGTGCAGAAATGGACAGACTAACCTTAGAGATTAAAGAGAAAGAAGACTCAGTCTATTTTAAAACATGGGAAATTTTTTTACCAATGGTTAGCAAAACAAACTAGCAAGAAATGATTGTGATATTTAATATGAAGAATGATATGTAATAATTGATACTCTTTATGATTACTGTTTTTCTTATTTACTATAGCTATTTACTATTACATTAATTACTGTTATCGAATATATGTACCCGGACAATAGTCTGCTAAGCTTGGAAATGTTATTGGGGGCAACCCCATTGTTGTATCTACCCCTATCCCTTCCCCAACCTTATAAAACCCAATACAATCTATATAAATAAAAATGTAAATGTCCGTTTGTTCAAAATCTTAAATCTCCGAAAGTTCTTCACAGATTGCTTTGAAATTTTGACACAATGTTGCATTCGAATACACGCGTGTTTTTATATACCTATATTATATAGATGTCACACCTGTGACAGGTAAAAACATGCTTTTTTAAAAAAACAGCGCCATCTGTTGGACGTAAAAGCAACACACGCTACAGCAACATTAACCAGACTGAGCAACAGCAACACATGGCCAGGTACAGCTAGTATTGTATAAAAAATTGTTCTAGCTGTCAGGAAATTTCTCCTTAGGGTCTCCAAGTCAATTTCATACCAAAGGAAGAAATTGAAGAGAATGTTGGGCACCCCATAGGATTGCTATGACAGCAAAACAAGTGTGAGTATAAACATTATTAATCTTCTTGAATACAAAAAGAGAGAGAAACAGCCATGCAGAGATTTTGTGTCTTCTTTTTCAAAAAGGAAGGCATCAAAGTTGCTCTCTTGGTGCCATCCAAATATTTTGGACTGTCATCCACACCTAATTAGATACAACTGGTCCACTGGCTGAGACTCACTGGATTTCTAATACTATATGGAATATATGAAGGGCACTGCATTACCTACTTTGGACCTCATAAAAAGGACGAAGAGAATGAGTTTACACCATGTCACTCACACTATGAAATAAGCAGCTTATAAGTTCTTGTCAATATATATGCATCTATTGGAGACGCATTCTGACATTTGCGGAGTATGGTTTAGCCAACATCACCAAATGCCATGGTGGGGTATAAATAGCTAAATACAGCCTGTGGAATTCTGGGTGTTGAAGTCCACACCTCTTGAAGTTGTCAAGGTTGAGAAACACTGGATTACGGCCAAGAACTAGGAGAGGCAGAAGATGTATTTGCAGAAGGTGATGGAGGAAGGGCAGGTTAAAAATCTATACAGTATGTAAGTAATCCTTACCTATGTTGCCTCGAATAGCATAATTAACCTTTATGTTGACACAGTATCTCCCCATTTTCTCAACCACACGTCCAATTTGAACAGCCAGCTCAAAGGTGGGAGAGAGGCAGAGGCACTTCAAGGCAAGAGAAGAAAAATGTAATGTACGACTTATCAATATCAATCTGTAGCCACATTTTAAATTTAGCCTTCAACAAGACATGCCAATGGCATCGGCTGTTTTCACATTCATCGACTCCAATTATGACCTGACTGTGGAGTAATGATGACTTACAAAGTCATCTACCTCTTATGAAATCGCTATCTCCCGGCAATTGTTCCCATCTTCCTTTCAAAAGGAGCTGCATTCATAAATGCAGATTATTTGGGTGCAAGTCTCCTGCATTTTAAGAAAGTGTCAACCGTCTGGCTAGCCAGTTCAACACTGAGGAATCTTTACGGCCTTTGAGGTGCCATAAAAGATAAGCTTTATTGAATACACATCTCGGTACTGAAGAAGCAAAACCAACTCTAGTTTTCCCACACAAAAATTTGATTAGTTAACCATAGCTTTTCACAATCCTCACCCACCAAGTGTTCAGGTGGCCCAATCACATCTCTTCGGTTTGTTATGGGAACGGTCCACTTCTCCATCAGACACCTGCTTTCATGACCTTAGGTCCCACGGTCCGTGGACGGAGGTTAGCAGGCATCTGAGCAATTCAACCTTGACAGAAAGGTGGTTGCGGACGCATGCCATAGCATGCTGGAATGAGTCTTATAACCACACACCTTATGACTACACCCTTCATTACAGGTAGTCCTCAACTTACAACAGTTTGCTTAGTGACCGTTCAAAGTTACGATGGCACTGAAAAAAAGTGACTTATAACCATTTGTCACACTGATGACCGTGGCAGCATCCCCATGGTCACCGGATCAAATATTCAGACGCTTGGCAACTGATTCATATTTATGACGGGGGCAGCATCCCGAGGTCATGTGATCACCTTTGACCTTCTGAACAAGCAAAGTCAATGACTTAACGACTGCAGCGATTCACTGAAGAACTGGGGCACAAAAGATCGTAAAATGGGGCAAAATTCATTTAACAAATGTTTCACTTAGCAACAAAAAATTTGGCCTCCATCGTGGTCATTAAGTCGAGGACTATCTGTATTTTTCTGACTAGTTACACTTTGGCTAAATATGTACTTGAACTTCTAAAAGAGTTCTGCTTTTTCTATATGAACAACTCTAGAGCAAATTATATTAAAAAAGGCAGATATTACTTGAATTAGTTTCTCACTCACACCCTATGGTTTTTTTTAGCAGTCAAGTTTGGAAAATGCTTGATAGTGTGTGTGTATGTGTGTTGGTACAATAAAATAGTGTGTCTGGGTGAATTGTTTCATTGCCACCCACATAGCGATATTGCTCACACGCACTAACATTAATGAAATATAGCAGGATATATTCCCAAAATATATCTGTAAGCTGTCTCCTAGGTGTGTGAAAAATAAAATGTACTGTAATTCCCTATACCTTATAGAGAAGAAGTGGGTAGAACTAAGGCATCAGTCTGCATGAACCCCAAATTAGGCTATTAAACATATGCCAAAAAAGCAAAGGCATCAAAATTTGAGTGGAAAATATATATTTTTTACAAAACCTCAGATTATTTATAAAGTTTTTGCTATCATCTTTTTCAGTCAAGTAAAGGCAAGGAAACAGTCTTACTCAAGTTGATACTAAAAGCTCTGCTCACAAAAGAGCATTGGTGAACTGCCCTTGAAGAAAGTAAGGTATGACCAAATTAGTGACTTTTACCTGTGGAAATTCCTTCTTTGGGTCTGTTCTGCTCAGCATAGCTAGAACAAATGCAGCTGTTTTGCCTGTCCCTGACTGACTTTGTGCTATAAGATTTTCGGGTCTAAAATACAAAATTACTTTATTAACATCTGTACAAACAAAGAACAACTGACTAACAAGAGAAAGGGAAACAGTAAAACAACTTGAGGATTTTTTTTTAAACATGAAACAGACAGAAAATAAAGTGGAAATGGCATTTAAATAAGGAGAACTAAGGAGAAGAACATTCCATAAAACCAAGCCTGAAAGACCAAAAAAAAAAAAAAAAAAAATATACGAAAATATATCATTCCAAAGGATGAACAAAATTGAACCAGCTGAAAAGATTTCTCCAACAGGATGGTCATATGTAAAGCAAACATAAATCTGGTATCCTAAGTCCATCTATTGTTTTGGGAACAATACCCCATTATCACCTCAGCCGCATCCCCCCCCCCCAAAAAAAGCTGTTTTGCTTTTATCTTAGGTCAGTGGTGGCGAACCTATGGCACGGGTGCCAGAGGCAGCACTCAGAGCCCTCTCTGTGGGCACGCGCGCTGTCACCCCAGTCCTAGGCCTTCAGCTGGGTTTTATAAAACCTTTTCGCTTTAGGCCTCCGCCGTGTGCAAAAAAAAACAACGATTCAATCAATTTCAACTTCTTGCGGGAAAAAAAAGTTCTTGCAAAGTTGGAATTGATTGATTGAACTTTTTAGTCCCACCCAGTCTGCCGTTACCACCGCAGCCACCCCCACACAATTGGCCACACCCACCCAATGGGCCACACCCACTCGGCACTTGACAATGCATAAGTGGGTTTTGGGTTGCAGTTTGGGCACTCGGTCTCTAAAAGGTTCACCATCACTGTCTTAGGTCATAAGAACCCCAAAGTCCCATGGACCAGTTCAGCATTCTTTTTCCACAATTACCATCTTTGACACCCCAAGTAAAAAATGCAATAGTTCAGCTTCAAGGCAAAAAAAAAAAAAGTGAGATTCCCCTACATTCAAGTCAGCTAATAGAAGTCACTGCCTAATTGATATAGGGTTTTCCTGGGCTACCAGTCAAGCAAGGCCCTTCCAATTTCTTTTAAACCAACTTACGGATCAGCCAGCATAATTGGCAGTGCGGTTTCCTGTATCTTGGATGGCCTGTTAAAACCCATGCCGTAAATACCCTGCAGCAGTTCTGGCTTCCTGTTAAAACACCAAAAGGGTACAAATGTACTGGTGAACAATTCATAACCATTATTAATAATGGTTATGAATTGTTATTGTTATTAGAAAAAGTAATTAACAAATGCATCAAGGCGAATGATTTGGAATTGTTTTTAAATATTTACTGTTTTATTCTAAAAAATGAAATACAAAACAGTAAAACAAACAAACAAAATGAAACAAAAGCATACATTCAACCCTAACAACAGCAAAAAAAGGGGGAAAAAACCCAGATCCTACATTTAACATGTAGGATCCACCCTGCCTGGTTGTCGAAAGAAAAGAAAAAAACAGTAAATTCTCTCCCCATTTTACAAGTATACATACATAAAAGAAGAAAGAAGGAAAAGCAGTCAACTGGTTAAGCTGAACAATACACTAATCTTCAAATCCCTCTGTTCACCATCTGTTATTATATATTATAGGCAGCTTTATAAGCGACTGGAAACTGTTTGTGGACTTTCTACCTGCTAAATATAATGATTTGGACATTCTATTACTCACAAGTGCAGCTTTTCAAAGGTGGTTACAGAAAACAGGGGTGATTGGGGATCTCGTTGTAGAATCTCTACATGATGACTCGATTCCACGAGAGACTTCCGGATCAGCTTATTCAAGAGAGACATTTCTGCCAAACTCTCTGGGTAACGGGAGAAAAATAAACCAGTTAAGCATTTTGTCTGGAAGAAATGGACCTGGAAGAGAAGAGGGCGCTGCTACTATATACCGATACGAACCTCTCAAGGGAAGACCTTTCTTTTCAAAACTGCCTGGACAGTGGCTTTTTCACCAGATTGTACCAAAGAAAAGTACTGGTGTTTGCTATTTCTTACCCTGCTCCAGTTTATATTCCTTTCCCACCAGCTGGATTATACACTAAGCCATATATGCAGGTGCCTTAAATGCTACAGCAGAAAAGTCAGCCAGGTGAATCAAAACTGGCTTTGCCTGAATTGGGGAAGACTGAATTGAAACCATCTCAACTTATTTCCTAAAGCCAAGGGGTGGCTCCTCTCAATGGCTTCACAATTTCTTCGCCAAACTCATACAGTTCGAATCTTAACGGATGCCTTCATCAATGACAAACTTTGGCAGCCAGCTTTTGTCTTTTTTGGGGGGGAGGGGGGAAGAATCTATCAATCACCAGAAAATGAACTAAGCATCAAGTGGAATTGCATTTAAATGCATTTCCTTTTCATCTTTGGCAACAAGACAATAGGGACAGTTGTTCAACAAGTAATGGTTAATCTGTAAAGCTTGCTTAAATTCTGCCTTGATATATTGACTCCAATGTGTAAATCTGGATATGTTGTATAAGGATGTACACCGGAATATAGACAGACTTTGGTTAACGACCAGTTGTTTATCAACTGTTTGAAGTTACAGCAGCACCAAACCAACAGTAGTTACGTCTGGTCCCTGAAGTTAGGGCCTTTGCAGACCCTCTGCTGTCGTATGACCAAATTTTGGATATTTGGAGGCTCACCTACACTTAGGACGACAAGGGGCTTCAACTCCCCCCCAATCTCTGCCTGTTTGGCCACCTTGCACTCTGTACCCATCATCTTCTTTTTCATACCCGTTGTCCACAAATGGGTGTTTTTTTTCTCACAACGGGATGTAAATGCTGGTTTCCAGCAATTTTTTTTGTAAATCCTGGTCACGTGACCATAGGATGTTGCAAAAAGCCAAAAAACGTGGGCTAGTTGCCAAGCACCAAAATGCAATCAGATCCTGGGCATAGGGGCTGCCTAACTTCAAATCCAGTTTCTAAGTCTGAAGTGGTATAGGTTTCCTGCCTGAGCAAGGGGTTGGACTAGATGACCTCCAAGGTCCCTTCCATCATCACCATCATCACCATCATCATCATCATCACTATTATTATTATTATTATTATTATTATTATTATTATTATTATTATTATTATTATTATTATTATTATTATTATTATTATTATTATTATTATTCCTGGGGAGGTCTGTTAAAAGTGACGGGCTGTTTAACAAAGACTACCTGTAGTCAATTTTAAGAGAGGAGGGAGCACTTTTGGAATATCTGATTACCGGGGAAAATGCCCACAATCTGAAAGGACCCAATCTACACATTGGCGTATTGCACGGGTCTTCAAACTTGGCCCTTTTATGACTTGTGGACTTCAACTCCCAGAATTCCTCAGCCAGGAATTCTGGGAGTTGAAGTCCACAAGTCATAAAAGGGCCAAGTTTGAAGACCCCGGCATATTATTTCAACCATAGCTAGGGCTAAGTACAGCTAGGTATATCATCCACAATCCTACCTCTGTCATCATCCTTCTCGTCCTGTGTCTCCAAGCTCATGTTGTTCCTCCTGAAGAGGCATCCTTAAAAGGAATTTTCCGAACATTTTTAGATTGGTCCATGCTATTTTTAAAAATCTTAAATACCACTGTCCAGATCAATACAAAAATATTAATACAGTACAGTTTCTGTTAACACTGGAAATCAGTGGTTCTCAACATTTTCTTCACACAGTCCTGTGTTAAATACAGACCACCAAGACCTAATTCAAGATTTAAATCATAACATTTCTTCAAGTTTTGGTGGACCCCGTGACATCACAGCCGCCCCCAGGGGTCCGTGGACCACAGGTTGAGAACTACTGCTGTAAGTAATAAGCAATGAGCTCCAGATATCAATAGATAGGATATATGCACATCACAGATAAATACACAGGGGTCCCCAACCATTCACGCCGTGGACAGGTAATCCGTGGCCTGTTAGGAGCCAGGCTACACAAGTGGTAGGCGAGCAAGTGAAACTTCATCTGCGCATGAGCGGGATCTAGGTTGCACATATCTCTCCCCCCCAGGTCTGTGGAAGATAATTTTTCTTCCAAAACTGCTCCTTGGTGTCAGAAAGGTTGGGGACCACTAACTTAGACCCTCATACCAATATTCGCAAGGAACTAATAATGTTCCTTGCAAATAGTGGTA